TATATAGTAATTTATTTTTTAAATAATTCATATCTATATAACCTTTTATTTAATTAATTAAGTCAACCTCTATTTAATCTTGATTCGATTTTTTGACCCTTGACCTTTTTCGGGTGAATGTCTGGTCCGATTTTCTAAATACCGATTTTCATTAGACCGGAGTTCTTTTCTCTATGTGATAAGTAATTTAATCCAAGGGAATCAAAATTGTAAAAGTAAGGCTAAACATTAGCCACCAAATCAAAATGTTTGTATGAAGATTTTTGGTTTATTTTATTCATTTTAGGGTTTAGTCCTTGATGCTTTAATTGCAGTATTTAGAAACTGAAGGATGAAATAAAAATTGTAAACGAGATTCGGAAATTAAATGAAATTCTGTTAATTTGTTTTGTAAAATTCTCTTGAGTTGTGGGCAGCAGCAATGATTCTTTCTCAGTAATGGAAAAAAAAAAAAGGAAAAAGAAATTATGATAAGGTCGAAATTCAAGTGGATTTTTTTTTCTTATTTTTAGATTGTATTGGATTATATTTTCATATACATATGATTTTTACGTTTTAATATATTTATATAATGATTGAAGATTTTTTTAATATTATTTAATTAAATATTAGTAAACGATTTTGTTATTTCGGCCGTCGATGGTCAATTGTCAACGGCCACCCTAACTCATTAACATTCCTGAATTTGCCACTGTCACGAGTAGCTTCCAATTTTTTTTGAAAGCAGTACAACTCCAAAGTAAAAGAAATGGCAAGCTTGTAAGGTGTCCGTTGTGGATCATTTAGAAAACGTATCTGCCCAGTTGAATTAATCTCTGTTTGTCTTTTATTCTTTTAAAACTTTTTTTTTCTGCATACTCATTTTCAATCACACATAAATTCAAAAATTTTCCCTAAATTTTAACTATATATTCTCCAAAAATTCACAATTCAAATTATTGTTTTTCCAAAAAAATGGCTACCATGGGCTTAATTATATGACAATCTGTAACATTGTTTCATTAACTTTCATTTTGTAACTCTTATCCCCCAATGTAGGAATTGTTCGTGCTGTAAAATTCCATCTGTTCATATAGAAATTGTATCATTTGCATTAAAAAAATGTACAATTCGTCACAATAACATACAAAAATGGGTGATAAATGTTAATTAGTACGCAACAAATTAGCATTTGTGTAAAATTTTCCACTCAATCGTGAAAAAGCAAGACGAACATGGCAAAGTAGAACAATCTTCAAATGAAAGCACAGCACCTAAGGCAAAGGCACATTGCACTTTCTCATTTTAAGAACTTGGTAGATAAGAATGGTACATTAATTAGTCATTACACTTTATCAATCCAAGTCACTAATTATTTTTGAGGCATCCCTAAAACTAAGGCTGAGAGAATTTTCTATCAAAATTGTGAAAATAGATTATCCCATCTAGCTGAAAAGCCAAACATACACAAATCCAATTTTCATGGCCAAAAAGTTTATTTCAAGAAGTTCAATATTAATTAAACTCTAATCCAAACGATACTCTACGGGAGGTAATGCAGAAAAATAACTCGATCCCAGTACGATAACGCGCATACTTAAAACATATGTGTTCTT